TGTCTGAGAGGCTTCAGTTCCTCTGGGCAGATGATATTCAGTGTTTTAGTCTGAGTGTGTCTTAGCTGCTGCTTCCTAAATTGTGCCTGTGGTTTGGAAGAGGATATTAAACATTCCTCTGTTTCCATCCTGTTTCTGAATTTTCTTCTTGGTATTCAGTGAACAAATGAGATTTTTCTTCATAGCTGCAGAAGATTTCTGGTTTGATTTAAAAATCTGGTGTTAGATGGTTCTAACACATGGTGTGTGAAGGCTTCAGCTAGCTGTGAGGGCCAGGACTCCTTTTTGAGTGTTTCATTTGTCTCCAAAATGGGTGTAATGTTGTTCAAGAAATGCAGTCTCACTCTTGGCACACACTTAATAGGAGAAATCTTAGCACTCTTGTGCTCAACAGCCTTCAGGAATGGAGCCTAAAATGGTTCAGGAGCCTGAGGTGCCTTGCCAGGGTAAAAGGTGTGATACAACATGGACTTTGTACCACACTCATCTTCCAGGGAGGACATATAAACTGTGGAGCTCCTGCTCGCTCCTCTGGAAATCACTCCGAGGTTGCTGGGGCTGGAAGGTCAACAAGTTGGGGATGTTTCACCCCAAACCATGGTGTCTGCCCCAAGCCCTGGACACCCCCGTGAGGACTGCAGGCCCATCCATGGGGGAGGAGGAATTCCAGCTGCAAACCTCTGTAGGCACCAAGCAACTGGATCAGTAACATCTGTTTCTGCAAGCTGTGCAGAGCATTGCCATATTCCTTCTTTCCAGCATTCCTCTTAACGTGTAGCATTTCTTTAGATGCCAAATATGTCCAGGCCATAAATACTTCAGCATGCAGAAGATGTGGAGGAAGGGAAGGATGCCTTCCCCCTCCCTGGCAGCCAGAGCACGGCAGGGCCTGGGTCCCTGTGAGCAGTGAGGGACTTGGGACAGGGCCCTGGAGTGCCAGGACACAGGGAATGGCTTCCCACTGCCAGAGGGCAGGGGGGATGGGGGATTGGGAAGGAATTCTTCCCTGTGAGGGTGGTGAGGCACTGGCCTGAACTGAAGAGGGACATCATGGGCAAACTCAGCAGCTTCAGGAGCTTCTAGAGTAGTTTTGAACAAGAAGCCCAGAGAATCAGTTGGTTCTGGGCAAAACATGGATCCTGTAACATCCACCCAGGGAACTGAAGGTGTAACCCTGGAGCTGCAGAAACTCAATGTCCACCCAGTGTGGCTGAGTTTGGGAGAGTCAGGGAGAGGGAAATGTGCCGTGGGCAAAGGATCCCTCTTGGCTCCTATTTGTGTTCTGATAAATCCCCCAGTGTTCAGCCTGACTCCAGAGCTCTTTGGCTCTGGCTTGAGGAGCGGAGCAGGGGCAGGTGTGACGCAGGTCTCGCACAGTCACCGGGCTGAGCCCACCTTAAGCCAACAGAGAGGGTGAAAGGTGGCAGTGTTTGGGGGCTGAATCTGTGTTTTCAGGCCAGGCAGCACCTCATATAAAAGCATGTTTCTATCCACTCCTGGAGGAGTTGAGACTGCAGGGCTGGCTCTAGGATCTGCCCCCTCCCCATTCCAGCTCCCAGGTGTTTGTCTTGGCAGGAAGCAGTGTCTGCTCACCCGGGCTGGGATATTAAACCCAGGGAACACAGAGCTCTTGATGCTGTTCAATAGGGCTTCTATTGAGGCAGGGGCAGCACGGGGCTGTCAGCCACCTGCGATTGTCCAGCGGGGAGAAGGGAGGGATAAGGAGTGGGGAGAAAACCCTGGAAGTGATTTCTGGTCCCATGAATAGAATGGTGAGAAGGAGGAGTTTTCTGGCAGGTAGAGACTTGTGTTGGTTGACTGCTGAGGCCTTTGCTGTGGTCCTGTGTCAGTGGAAATCAGAGATGATGCTGCTGAAATGAAATGGGTTGTCACAAGGAACTTCCTGAATTGAACTGTCCACGTGTGGAGATTTCACTGAGCAGTTGATGTGTGGCCCAGAGTGAGGACAGACTGAGATGTCCTGAGTCTGACACTTGGGATATTGCTGGTATTTCAATAGATTCCAGATACTTATTTCCACATTTTGTTGTTGAGGTGTGTGGGGTGGTTGGTTCATTTAATTTCCATGCAGTGGAAATTTAGTTGCAGTGGTCTGAAGCTGAAGGAGGGAAGGTTTGGATTAGATACTAAGAAGAAATTCTTCTCTGTGGGGTGCTGAGGCACTGGCACAGGTTGCCCAGAGAAGCTGTGGCTGCTCCATCCCTGGGAGTGTTCCAAGCCAGGTTGGATGGGGCTTGGAGCAGCCTGGGCTGGTGGGAGGTGTCCCTGCCCATGGAAGTGGGATGGAACTGCATGATCATTAAGGTCCTGCCAACCCAACCGTTCCATGATTCTAAAGATTTGGAGAACTGTCCAGGTTCTGGAAGTCTCATGGTGCAGAATCTGTCACTGTGTTTTCCTGTGTTGCTGCAGTCATTGCACTTGGATCTTGTTCTTCAAAGCAGGCAGGTTCATCCTCCTGAGCATAGTCTCTCCCTTGAAACAAGGCACAGTTTTCCCTTTTCCCACTGCATCCATCAGTGCCCTTGGACTGGAGAGTGACCCCCTGGCTCTTCCACACATGCCTGTTTCATGTGTGCTCTGGTGAGAGCTGTGATCTTCTCCTGCTTCCCTCTGAGGCAGAGTCCAACAGCACAGCTTTAGTACTCCATATTTGCACCCGTGTGTGACTGAAGGGTCCCAAGTTGGAACCTCCTTCTAGGGGGAAGGGGATTTTGGCATCCCTGAATCCCTGTGCTTATTGCTGATATTTTGCTTGCTCCTTTTTTCCAAGGGTGGCCACTGCAGCCCAGCCTCATACAGAGTGTCCTCCAGCCTGCTCATTAGTCTGCTCCCCCATTGCTGACAGCCTGGGGACAATTGGAGAGTCTTCAACATGATGCTAAGCTTGAGTTGTTTAAAGCTTTTAATCTCCCCTGTTTTGTCTCTTCCCACTGAAGACACAGAGCGTGGAGTCCCCAGGTTGCTGTGTGTGACAGGAGGGTGTGCACATCTCCTGTGCCTGCCATACAGATGAATGTTCTCTTTCGGGGGGATGCAGTCAAGCCCTGTGGATCTTGAGTTTCCAAGGAAAGAATGACATTGGCAAATATTTCCATACTGTGTTGCTGATTTGCTTAAAGCAGCTTTGCAGTTCCGTTCTCACACTGTTCAGAGCTGCTGAGGAGAAGCAGCTGCTAATTAGCACCTCAGTTCCCCACAGGATCACATCAGTGCTCTGAAATCTATTTCTCTGTAGTACAAAGGGCAGTTTGAAAACATAATTTATAGCGTTCCCTTCTCTGTGGGAGGGTCTGTGTCTTACAAAACCATGAAGTTTCTAAAACAGATTCCAGCAGAGTTTGGGATGCAGTCTGGCAGCAGAAGGTGGGAGCATCCTCTGACCTCGTGGTATTGCCCACGAGGTGTCAGGTAGGATGGGTGGAACAACCCAAAGCCTTTCCTGCTCTCCACCAACACTCAGGGGCCACTTTTAGCAGCACCTGATAATGGCCAGCAGTGTGACTGTGCTGAACAAACCCTTTCACTTCCTGGCATCCCAGGGTGGCCTTCCCAAAGCTCCCCTGGGAATTAGCTGCCTCTCCCTCGCTGCAAACCACTGGGAATGGGGCGTTTGACTTCCTAAAATACTTGTGGAAATCCCACCCCTAATGTTTAATGCTGGAGTTAAATGTGTCCATTAATGGTCACTCCACAGCTCTCCCTTGTGCTCCCTGAATGAAGGGCTCTTTCCTCTTTTCCATGCATATTTATAGGGAGTCATGTTCCCCCTTAAATACTGTTGGTTTTGGCTCAGGAAGTGATTCCTTAGTTTAACCTGCCCTTGTAGGTTATGTTCTCAAGGCTTTAGGTTGTTTCTAATTCCCTTATTCTCTGTGTCTTTTGCATGTGAAAAAACCCCACAGCTATGTGTATTTTTCCAGGTTTCACTTTATCCATGGATTGTCCAGTAAAGGATGTGAGGCTTGGTGTCCTCTGGGAAGCCCTCCTAGGTGGGCTGCCTGTGCCAGACTGGGTTTGGCTTTGCTCCCAGTTACCTTTTTTTATGAGCTCAGGCAGGACTTGCTCCTGCATCATTCTAATTCCTTGGAAAAGTTTTCCCTCGGTTTGCTCTGCACCATTGCTCCAGGGTTGAGGAGGGTGGGAAGATCTGTGGGGTTAAGTGTGTTAGTGCTCAGATGTCATTCAAAGACAAATACAGGTATTGGGAAGAAAGGTGGGTGCACATAGGGTGCTGACTGCACCTTGGATATGCTGGGTTTGGGTTCTCCCGTGGGATAACCAAGTCTGTAGGAAAACAAGAAGTGAATCCACTTCCCTGAGTCTCAGGGTTGAGATGGCGCTGGGAACAGGCAGGTTTATTCCAGCCTCTGTGCCCCAGGGGCTGCTTTGGGATTGTGGTGGTCCTGTTGTCTTCCCCTTTCCACAGAGCCCCGAGGACAGCCCTGGAGAGCTCAGCACAGATTCCAACCTGCCTTCCTCAGCCCGTGGAAATTTTGGAGCGCTGCTAATTGAGAAGAAAAAAAAGCAGTAAAATTAATAGCATTCCAAGATTGCAGACTGAGCTTTCCTGGATTGCTCCATCAATGTGCTTTTGTGGAAAAGGAAAAAAATTTCCACTACATACTTCTTCCTTGAAAATCCACCACGGCCCTTGCTCCAAGGCAGCCTGGAGGCATACGTGCTCCGAGCACCTGCGCGTGCGGCTCGCCGGCCAGGGGCAGGAAATGCTGGGTTGGCACTGGAGCTGACAGGGAAGATTCACTTGGAAATGCAATCCCTGCTTCTGCCCCTCTGTCTCCATTCCTGTGGAAAATTTCAAGCTCTTTCTGTTGTGAAATTTGGGGGGTGGAAGGGAGAACATCTATGGGTTACTGTTCCGGGCAGTTTCTGCTTCACCCCTCTTGTTTGTAGAGCCTCAGGCCAGGGCTTCAGGCTCTCCACTGACATGTGGACATACTTTCTCCCTCCCTCACCAGGCTGGAATGATAAGAACCGATGAGGATGAGTACTTCATTGAGCCCTTGGAAAGGGGAAAGCAGATGGAAGAGGAGAAGGGAAGAATCCACAGCCACATGGTGTACCGGCGGTCGGCGGTAGCACAGCCTCCCACCGACGTGCTCCCTGATGTCCACACAGGAGGTACAGTACCCTGTGCTCGTTATTTGCAGGTCTATTCCAGGTGACTCCAGTCTATGGAAGCTATTGGAAGAGGCTCTACAGCTCCAGCTTAAAGTGTGGGTTCTGTTTCTTTCTGAGTAGCAGCAAAATGGTGCCAATTCACTGTTTTCCTCCTCCTACTGGTAGCAATTAATGTGGTTGTGTTGATCAGATACATTTTGTCACATCCAAGGGTTCCCCCCTGCCTTGAAGATAATGTGGTTGGTCCATCTGAGAATAATTATCATGTCTGAGAGTAATTATCATTTAGTTTAATCCATGTGCTTGTATGTTTTAATACTCCACAAACCCTTGCAAGCCAATGTGTTGCATAGTGAAGGTGGAAGCATTTGAGGCTCTGGGCTGAGGATGAAAGAGCAGCTCTGCTCCCTTCCAGTGCTCTGCCTTTTTTCAGCATCTCTCAGCTTCTGAAATTCCTCTTTGTACGTTATGTTCACATGTTCCTCAAGCTTGAAAGGTTTTGGGAAATGAAAGAACAGCTACAACACACAGAACCAGAGGCATTTGGCTTTCGGTACCCCGGTAAGGTTGTTCCGTGTGTCTGGTGAGGGTTAGCCTGGAGAAGAGGAGGTTCAGGGGAGACCTGCTCTGAAAGGAGGTCAAAACTCTCTGAATGGAGGGTGTAGCCAGGTGGAATTCAGTCTCTTCTCACAGGTAACAAGTGACAGGTCAGGAGGAAACGGCCTCAGGTTGTGCCAGGGGAGGTTGAGATTGGATATTAGGAAAGATTTCTTCATGGAAAGAGTTTTCCAGCCCTGGCACAGCTGCCCAGGGCAAGGTTAAGAGTCACCACCCCTGGAGGGATTTAACAGACAGGTAGATGTGAGACTTGGGGACACGGTTAGTGGTGACCTCAGCAGTGCTGGGGGAACGGTTGGACTCATTGATCTTGGAGAGCTTTTCCAACCTAGGCAATTCCATGATTAAGGTTAAATCAAGCTGCCCAAGCCTTGCAGCCTGAGGCAGTGTTTGCAGTGGTTGAGTTAGGAGCTGCATGTAGATGCAGGAAAACCTTCTCCATTCCTCTCTGCCCCTGCTCCCACCCACGGTCCCTGAGCCAGAGGCAGAGCGTGGTCTGCTGGTGGCTTGGGAGCTCAGCCAGCACAGAGAGGAATCCAAGTGCTCAGTAACAGATGACAGATGACTCAATCAAACAGTCATTAAGATAAAAAAGCACTTAACGTTGCTGTCAGTGAAGTCGTCTTACGACCGGGAAGGGCTGTGTGCCATGGGCTGTGCTGCATTGGGTTCTCCCTGCAAGGAGTCACTTGTCTAAGGAGAAAACTTCAGCTCTGCGGAAGGAGCTTTCAGTCTGACAGGATGTCTGGTATTCCTGTAGGGTTTTATAACAGTTGGGAACTGGTTGGGTATTGCTCAAGCAGTTGGACAGAATGAGCGCAGGAGTTTAAGTCAAGAAAGCTGCAGTCCTAGGAGCAAGGCTTTAGCCATGATCCCAGTGCAGGGGAGCATTAGGTGGGTCATGTGCTGGGCTCTCGTGGAAGGGAGCACCCATGTAGCATCTACCCACTCCTCCTTCCCACTCTGCTTTATGGCTGTCCCTTTGAGGAAGCTTCAGTGAGTTCCTTGGGTGGGAAGCAGGAATCTGGGCTTTGGGGGGAGGATACTGGGATGCCTCAAGCTACTGGACAGTGTGGGTTCAGACTGGCCACCCTGAAGCAGCAGCCTGTGCTGCTCCCTCCCTGTGGTGTCCATGGATCTGGATGGCCTCTTCAGGGCATCACACACACAGGTGTGTGTGGTTTCCATTTGCTTTGTGCAGAGCTTGGTTTCTTTAGAAATGCCTTCAATGAGACACTCCAGAAATCAGACTGGAAATCCGACCCCATTCCTGTGGGGAATTGTTCTCTGTGTGTGTGCACACCCACCTGAGGCTCCTGGAAGGATCCCCTCGTTAATTACTGCCTGTCTGTTCCTCTCTCTTCAGTCATTCTGGGGTGAATAGTGTTCCCTGTGTATAAATGAACCTGAATACCTGGGGCTTGTGGTGATACCAGGGAAGTGTGGGCAATTTTCTCTCTCTTATGCTTATAAAATGGCTCTGCTCTCACTCTGGGATATCAAGGGAAACATGGATAATGTTCCATGTTTTGACAGACATTACAGGTTTGACTATCTGTATGTCCTGGTAATCTGCCAGTTCAAAGGATCATGTTTGGCTGTATTCCTTGGGATCTGATTGAAGTGAGGCAGTGCAGGGAAGCAGTAGGTCTTGACCACTACATGTTAAAATCATTTGTAAACCCCAGATCCTACCTGGTCCCTGTGAGCTCCATCTGAGAGTGTGTCTGATTGCTGGTCTGGAGTGCTGAGCTCAGGTTAGTTCCTCTAGGCAGAGAAAGCTGTTCCTCCTCTGCAGGCTGGAAGCCAAGGCCTCCCCTGGGCAGTCCCAGCTATTGCAAAAACACTGCAGTGTAGTAGGATGAGACACTGGACGTTTGTTTTGAAACATCGGGTTGGGTTTGGTCTGGGAATCGTATCACAGAACCTGACCATCTCTGGAGTCCTCCATGGGTGTAAATACACAGGACAGACTCCTGACAGCTTTTCCATGTCGGATTGCCCCGGGATGACATGTGTAAGCTCAACTTCCCCAGGCAGCTAAGTCCTGATCCTAAAGACACTGAACATCTGTGCTTCTCATTTGAGCTGAGTACTGCAAGTAGTCCTGGTCAGCATTCACCTCCTGAGTGTTAGTCCCAAGTAAGCTCTGTGACATCAGAAAATGCTTATCCTAAGGGCAAAAAGGAACAAGATCAGAGACTCCATGTTGGGGTGAAGGGTCTGCGGGACAGAGCTGGAAAAAAAAGGAGAATGTATGAGGCTGTCGTGTTCAAACATCATTTAAACAGATCTCAAGGATTTTCCCACCAAATAGCTCTGTGCTTAGGAGCAGAGAAATGCTCTCAGGACAAGCCTGAGTTTGGGAAGTAAAACAATGATATCATTCTGTCTGGGCAGAATGAAAGGAAGCTGCTCGTTGTTAATAAGCTGAGAACCAGTGTGATCATTAACCTTGTTCCGTGCAAGCATCCAAGAAACAACAGAAGCAAGCAAAGGCCTGTAGAATTTACAATCAGATTTGCACCCAGGAGGCTTTCTGTGTGAGTCCTACTGACCCAGGCTCGGGAGGGTGGTAAAACAAACCCAGTTCGTGTTGCCTGGTCCGAGTCCGGTGGGAAGACTCAGGCTGACATCAGTGGGATGATGAGACAGGTTTGGATCGTATTCTACTTGAGCTGATCACAGAGAATTCCATTTATCTTTCCTCCTGTTCATCCATTTACTACTTTTTCCATGCGCTCGCTTTTCATATGGGAGCATGATGACATCCAGCCTTGCTCTCTGAGGTTCCACACTGTGGTCATGCACTCAGAGCTTCCCCATTTCATCCTCCTCTTCACATCGTGGTATTTTTTACATGACAACCTATTCACCCAGAGAGCACTTGAGATGAAAGTGTTCCTGTAATTACTTCCTAGCAGTGGGAAACCAGGAGTAGGAGTCTTTCTCTCCCAGCTTCCTTTCAGGATTTTCATTTGCCCCAAAGAACCCAAGTGCTTGTGTGTCCTGTGGGGTTGCCATGGCACTGCCTTCAAGTGTCTTTGTCCCAGGTGGGAAACATGTAGGAGGAAGAAATGATTTGGGAATTGCTCCTGGTTGCCTGGAAATGAAACCCTGGAACAGAAGGTGGAAGAATGGGAAGACTATTCCCTGCCTGGGAGACCTCCCTCAGCACTTCCCCAGGCACATTAGTGGCTCTTAGGGACGTCCTCATGCTGGAGGGTGTCTGAGCTCTTTCTCAGCACAATTTCTCATGACCTGTGTTCTGGTGGAGGATATTTTGGATACTGCACATCCCACCACATGGTTCTGTGCATCGGGAATAATGGGAAAGAAGGAAATGATTTCTGTGGAGACTCAGCCCACCACGTTGTGTAACATCTTCTCTTCAGTCTGGGCATTCTTCTAGGATCACAGAGTCACAGAGTGGTTTGGGTTGGAAGGAACCTAAAAGTTCATCTCATTCCAACCCTGCCCTGGGCAAGGACACCTCTCACCAGCCCAAGTTGCTCCAAGCCCCATCCAGCCTGGCATGGAGCACTTCCAGGGATGGAGCAGTCACAGCTGCTCTGGGCAACCTGTGCCAGTGCCCTAGCACCTCACAGGGAGGAATTTCTTCCTGACATCTAATCCAAAGTCTCTTTCAACTCTGTTGTATTCCCCCAAGAAAGGGCCATCGGTAACTTGTATTGGTGGCGACAACTGGTGTTTCCTGAAGACACCCTGCCCCTTACACAGAGCTGTGGGAGCTTCTGCTTTGAAGTCAGCCTGCTATAAAAATGAAGCTTAATTGGATTCATTGAAGTTCCTAATTGAACATTGGTTTGTGAGATTGGGTTTTGGGTTTTTTTCAGGTAATAATATGCTTGATCAAGGAAAAGGTAGTCAACAAATAGGCCAGGAACAGCAGAGCATGGTGTGAAACACAGGGAGCTTGGGGGATGTATTTAGGAAGTAGAAGGAAACACAGAGTTCATAGATGAAAAACAGCTTATCATTTTATGGTTTTTGTAAGAAAGAAATGTGATCAGGAGTGGCTCAGAGAGCACTGTGAAGTGACTGATGTGCTCTGTCTGTGTTGGGAGGTTGTGCTTACCTCCCCAGGATGGGAGTAGGGACATCCATCTGCTCAAATCATCTCCTATTCTTGGCAATAACAAAGGAAAATGCTTCTTAAATAAAACCAAGGCTAAAGACATGGTTCCAGCCACAGGCACCCAACGCCAGAGCAGTAAAACATGGAGAACTCTGCGTGAAGGCAAAGCTGAGGGAGTGGAGACAGGGCAGTACATGCAGCTTGTGGGCAGTCCAAGGATTGTGCAGTTTTCCAGCAGAAACTCCCTGTTCCCCCAAATTGCATAGGAAGAAGCAGACTTTGA